TTACAAGAGGCACCTTGTATTGATTTATTCATTGAAACTGATTCCAATGTGAAAGGTAACAGGACACTCCATATGCAGTAGTCTCAGTGGGACTTCCTTTTTTTTTTTTATATTGAGCTTTGCTAAGACAAGTTACTAATAATAAAGAGATCTCTTTCATAACAGTCTTATCTAAGCAGTTCAGAATGTTTCAAAGGCATAATTAATTCATACTAACCTAATAAAACAGACAATAGCAGATAGTCCCTCCTTTTATAAAAAGGGAGATTGAGGCAGTCATTTGGGAGTTATAAAACTATGAGAAGACAGGTACCCTGACTTTCAATTCAACTTAGTAATTCTAGTTCAATGACATACACAATTCTGTATTTGGCCTCAAAAAGCAGTTAGAAAAAAAGACTACAAAAAATGACTATCAAAAACAGATTTTTCCATGGAAATGAACATGTCATATAAAATGTGGCTAGAGTTACACTATTCAGTATCTAAATAAAACAATGTAAAGTCATGAATTAATACATGTTAAAATTTTTTTTATGTTGAGTTAAATAATTATATTATGAAAATTAATTTCATTTTATTTTTTCTGTGGTACAGAAAATCTTGTATTTGCGGCTCGTGTTATATTTCTATTGGACAGCATTGCTGTAGAGAAAGTTATGAAATAAGCATCATACACCATAGATACTTTACTCAGCAAATACTTAGTCAACACCTATTATTGTCAGGCTTTAGAGTAATTGCTGAGACCTTAAGACTGAACAAAAAGAATGGGTCCTGCCATCATAGAGCCTGCATTGTTTCTTACACTTTTGCACTTTCACATATCTCATTTTGAATCAGGCATAAGAATAATTTAATTTAGAATACCATTTGGGGGGGACAAATGACAATATTATGAAGTCACAAGTACATTCATATTAATGACCATCTATTTTGTGACAATTTCTAATATTTTGACATATATTTATCTTGAAGCCTAACACTATTACATTCCGGAAGGCTTCTACTGTTTTCTTGCTCCTTCTAATTAGTTTGCTCCTTCCTTCTAGCTTGCCTCTACCAGAGTGTCTGTTCAACTGGCAACCTGTCTGCAGCTAACTTTGTGACAGGGCTATTTTTACTCGTAGGGGTCCCCAGAGCAGGACAGAGATTGAAAATGATAAGTGTTGGCCGGCGCAGTGGCTCACTAGGCTAATCCTCCCTCTTGCGGCGCCGGCACACCGGGTTCTAGTCCCAGTCGGGGTGCCGGATTCTGTCCCAGTTGCCCCTCTTCCAGGCCAGCTCTCTGCTGTGGCCCAGGAGTGCAGTGGAGGATGGCCCAAGTCCTTGGGCCCTGCACCCACATGGGAGACCAGGATAAGCACCTGGCTCCTGGCTTCGGATCAGCACGGTGCGCCAGCCACGGCAGCCATTGGAGGGTGAACCAGCGGCCAAAAAAGAAGACCTTTCTGTCTCTCTCTCTCTCACTGTCCACTCTGCCTGTCAAAAAAAAAAGAAAAAAAAAAAATGATAAGTGTACCATAATTTTAAGGGACCAACTCCAGTTTTTTGAAGCAAAGATTCAATTTTCAAGTTTCTTTTGGAGTAAAACAAAAATAGGGTTATTTTTGAATAGAATTTTGTTTCATAATTTAATGCACAAACAGGATTAAAGCAATTCCTCATCAGTTATGTCTTATTGAAAATTTCACATAACAAAATCTTCTTGAACAGGACTTCTAATATAAAATACTAGCTAGCATCAACAGACCAAGGCTACCTAATGGTCTAAGGCTAATGGCATGGCTTAAGAAAACAATGTTACCAGTACAAAGTCATCAGGTATTACTACAACAGAGAGCAACGCAAGCAAAAATGACTATCAAAATGTGCTAATTTTTCCCACTTTAATTTGGAAAGTATCACTGACGTATGATAGCTCTTGAAAAATAAATGAAGTATCCAGGTTTTAGACACCCAGATGATTTCACTACCATGTCCCCTACCACCATCTGAAATACAGATGTGTTTAGCAAAGGAATATTATTCCTCAGTCCTTAGCTGTGCAGGTGTGGTTGTGCATATATTATTTCAATGTTATGCATCTTCTGTCAGTTAACGGACATCTTCAACTTAAATATATTTTAAAAGACCACAGAAAAAGAGTTAACTACTTTTGGAAGAAAAAAAAAAAAACTGCCCAGGTAAGGACAACCTAGCTATTCTCCATTAGTAATCCCATTAACATTTTGCTAAACAGGAGTTAAACCAAAGCCATTACTTAACCTAGAGTACTCCATGTATGATCCTAGGTCCTTTCAGACAATCACCAAACTGCTACTATGCTATATAGTGTGCTCATTTGCCAAATACAATACAACATGCAATTAAATATAAATTTAGAAATTCAACTTTATTTTGGCCTTCAGCCCAAAATATGCTAAAGTTTTTGGACTTCATTTATTTAAGAAAAAGGCAATAACAAAAAGAGCATAAGCTTAGAAAGAAGCAGCCTGTAACTGACAATCAATTGTCACTTGTTAGTGCCACCAGAAAAAACAATTTCCCAAGATTTCCTGTAGAACCTGAGTAGAGAAGATGTAAGTGAGCAATTCAGATGTAAATGCAGCAAATTCATCTCCGGCTTACTCAGTGCCCAGCACTTGTCTAGGGACTTTTATGTTATCACAGATATCTTGCCTTTTTTCCTCCCCTTGGAAATTCCAGAAAACTACATTTCTCAATCATCAGTGCCCTCCAGACTAAAAAAGAAAGAAAATGTGTAAGAAATGATTAGAAACCAAAGAATTTCTGGAATAAACCTAAGTGTTTAAAATAAAATCAGAACATGCCATAATTTACTCAGACTGTTTAAAATGGTCTAAAAATGCCTCAACTTACCTATATTTAATTCCATTTAACAACTTAATAATAAGCAGTATTCTTCCATCTGAACCTAATAGAGAGGTGACCTCAAGGGTCTTACCGTCACAACTGCAAAAATAACTGCTTTATGACTTCACCTATGTTCACACTTGAGAAGAATATTTACTTTCCACTAAAATGCTGAGGTATTTTAAAAAACAAATAATTTTAGTGTCCCTCATGTCAGGAAGAAAATAAAGCAACAATAAGTAAAAAGGTACCAAAAATTCAACAAATCATCATTAATATTTAAAAAGCAAACTCCAACATGGGTTGAATAAAATGGATAGGTTTTTGCATTAATGCTAATGATCAACTGAAATATAAAACAATAATTTCAAGTAGCTACTATCTGGACAGTAAAAACTGGGTTGTGTTTCAACACCTAAAATGATGTTGCAGTTTTAAAAAATTAATCTTAAAGGAGTCCTCCTGGAAGACTGAGATACTGGAAAAAAAAACATTAAACGTCAGTTGCCAAGTGTAATTTTTTTTCCTTAGAAAGACATTTTTCAATGACGTTTAAATATTTTCCATGGACACATGAAATTTAAAACTTTAGTTATATCGTATACAGTAATAAAGAAAGAACATTACCAAGCAGAACAAAAAAATTAACTGATAAAATTATGCAAAAAAGAATAAAACCACTTCTTTTAAGTACCGAGAGTTAATTCTAAATCCTCACCATGGAATTGCACACAGCTAGGAAAAAACATTTAAAGATAAGATCACCATTTTCTATATAAAGAAAAATATGTAGATTTTTATTTGATTCAGACAGTTCAGCATTAAAGACGCATTAACAGGCAAATGCGGTAGCGGCTTGAATTATAAAGAGAAGTGATTAACATGTGCCCTGACATGGTTACAGGCAAAGCTGAAAACTTGGGCATACCATCAGGTTTCATCGAGCCAATACGGTCAATGAATCTAGGTTAAAATAAGAAAAGCAGCCAAGAAAACAATAGAAAGACAGCCATGTTCTTACCAAAAAAAAAAAAAAAAAAAAAAAAAAGAGAGAGAGAGAAAGGAAAGAAAAGATCACAAACATTTCACAGCAGCAGCTTTTCGCCTCCACTGTTTACTAACATTTAAGGCCAACACCTGGGGATGCCCTTTCCAACGTCAACGTAACAGAACATTCTGCCACATTTTGAACAGCCAATATTAAGCAGAGTAAGCAAGCATCCTTCATGTATTTCTACCTCCGAAGGCCAACGGGGGAAAAAGTCCACCTTCCTCTCTCCCACAGACCTAGCCTCCGCCACTCTCTTCCTTCTTCTATGTACTGCCCTTGACGCGAGGTTAACGAACCCTAAACTTCTTTTTCCACGGTCCATCGCTGGAAAGGGTGGGGCTGGAGGTGGGGGGCGAGGGCAGGGTGGAACCCAGCTGATAAAAGCTGGAAATGCAAAGTCGGGGCATTACTTGCTGGGTGCGGGCCGGGAACACCCAGACGAAGGTCCAGGGGAAGACAATCCCGGAAGATCCCGGAGCCACACACCACGGTTCACCGGGGGTGTAGCTTGCTCGGACCAACCCGCCCCGGCTCCCGGCTTTCCTGCCCAACCGCCCCAGGCGTTGGGGGGCCAACCTCCCCGGCCCCCCGAATGTGCAAGCCAGGCCCGGAAGCCGGTCCCGTTAGAGCCGATTTCACCCGTCAGGAATGCGCTCCGCCCCCGCCGCCCCGCCGGGGCAGCCGCCCTCCGGTCTCGCCAGCTTCAGGGGCTGGGCGAGTGCTCCAGGGGAGCACCGCCTCGGCAGTCACAACACTGCCGGGCCGGCTGCCCGCTCCACAGACACCCGGGCTCCGCCCCGGCCAGCGCAGCCAACCCAGGGGCCAGTCCTGGGCCTGACCCTCGAGGCCCCGAGTCCCCCCCACTCCCTCACGCCCCGGGCCGGCTGGCCGCGGCCCCAGCCCCTCTCGCAGGGCGCCGAAGGGGGCGCCTTCTCGCCCCCCACCCCCAAGTCCCGGGGCTTCCGAATCCATTTTCGTCCCGGGGAAGGGCGCGAGGCCAGAGCTCGTCGGGTCGGAAACCGGAGCCACCCTGCCCGCTCCCGGGTGCAACCTCCTGCGGTGCCCGCCGTACCTTAACTCCTCAGAGCGGCGGCGACGCAGAGCTGCGGGCGAGCAGGCCCATCTCCCCCGAGCGACGGCAGGAACCCGAGGAAACGCTGCGGGTGCGGGGGGTCCCTCAGCGGCGAGCGGCGCCTCTCAGCCGGGGCGGGGAGAGCGGAGGGACCGGGGCCCGACGGCCGCTCCCCAGACCTCCTCCGCAGTTCTGGCTGGAAGGCTGCTGGGGTGAACCAGCACCACAACTGCCATTCCCCCTCCCTCAGCCCCCGCTTTCCCCGCCTCCTCCTCCCACTTCTTCCTCTCGCCCCCGCCCCCCGGCCGCCCCGCCCCGCCCCGCCTCGGCGCGCCACCCACGTGCCTTGCGTCATGGCGTCACGCCCACCCGGCCCGCCGCGGGCGGCTCTGGGACTTGGTCGAGCGTTCGCCGGACGCCCGCGCACCGTTTCGCTGGCTGCACCTGGGCGGCCGGGCAGTCACCCGCCCTGCCGCGTGCAGAGATTCGCCCTGAGTGGGCTGGGCTGTGGGGCAGCGTCTCCCCGCCCTCCTGCGAGGACAGGTGGGGATGGCTGGAGCTGTCAGAGCGAGGGACGCCGGCTCCTGGCTTTTCGCACGGCGTTATTTATTCCTTTTGTGCTTTCTCGGTTCACCTGCTTGATTGGCAGCACCCGGGAGAGCGGGGCCGCTGCGTGGCCCAGAGTTCTGCTCTGGGCGCGGTACGTCCGCAGGTGCCCTCGGTCAGTTTTAATGGCCCTTGGCCACAGTAGCACCTTGCGCGAGGGTGTGGAGACTCCCTTGGACTCACCTTTGTCACTCCGTATTTTGGTACTTCACAAAGCCGTATGCTCATTGAGAATTCACATTTCAGTGCTCATTGATCTCTGCTACTTTCTGAATTACTTTGATCTAGCTTTAACTGTTGCATCACCTATCTTCTAAGCCTGCCAGACACCCCTCCTTTAATTTTTTTACCTTACACAAGACTTGGTATAAATTCTTCTTAATTGAATGAACAAAGTCAGGGCCTGGTCCATTTCCTCCTGGTTTATTTCTCATCAAGATATAGATCAGTCTTCTTTGGAATACTGAGAAATGAATATGATAGATGCTGGACAGACTGCATTCGCCATCTGTTTCTTAACTAAATATATCATCCTTCCAATCCTTGTTTTAGTATGTCTAATTGAAATTAGATACAAACCAGGGAGCCATGGTCTTTCCGACCGTGGTTGGTATCGTTGGTAACCCAGTCATGTTTACCAATTAGAAAACCGAACAAGCAAGGCAGTTGAGGTCCAAGTATCTTTGAACGTTAATTTTAAAGGAAGTAATTATGGGTCTGTTTATTTTCATTTGTCAGAAATTTTCAAACTGTTATAGATGCACCTTTAAATGCTATTTGAAGGCAGCCAGCAGTTTATGGGATACTTGAAGCCTACAGATAGTATAAGAATAGTACATTGATGGAACAGTACCCATACATAATATAATCCTTGAAAAGATATCAACATGTTAAACAACATTTCAGCACAGATGGAGATTGGCTTGAGAGGGGGTTTTGACGACAGTTCTGCAGAATGAGGATGGTTGTGTACTCTGTACAGTTGTATTTTCCAGAGATGCCTTTTCCAGCTTCCTGAAAGTTAGAGAGACTTCCTCCTCTTCGCTAGGCCAACGTAAATCTCCAAGGAAACAAATACTGAACATCTCCACCCACATCCCCACAGGCACTTCAAACTGAGCCTAACGTGGAGTTTACCATGGAGTTTCCTTAACACTGCTTGCCTCTTCCATTCACTGAGGCCAGAGCTGGAAATCTAGGACTTTTGCCAGGCACTCTCTGACAATCCCAAACCACCATTAAACCTTGCATTCCTTAGCTTTTCGCTTCTATAACAATTATCTGACACAGGCTGCCTGTGAAGGAAAGAAGTTCATTTTGGCTCACGATTTCGGAGGTTCACAGCCTGAGAAATAGCACAGGCTCCATTGTTTTGGCTGCCTGGTGAGACAGGAGGATAGCAGTGGCCAGTCCTGTGCAAGAAGCAATAACGTGGTGGTCCAGGAAGCAGAGAGGACAGCGAGGCCCAACTGGGCCTTTGTGTTGCTCACCAGAACACCCAGCTCCTACATAAAGCTGGATTAAGTTTCCACCCTCTTAGTGTCTCAACTTATGACTTTGAGGTTTTAACATCTACATGAATTTGAGAACCATATCCAGTCCAAACTATAGGAACCACCAAATCCTATTCATTATGTCCCTTAAATATCCCCGTGTTCTTGTCTATGAGGGATCTTCAAAAAGTTCATAAAATGAATTAAAAAATAAAGTTTTTAGAAAATGTCCATTATCTATCAACTTTTGCTTTTCAGTTTCCAGATGGTCATTTTATCAGATAGTTTGAACATTAAATTTATCCTTGTTTGCAATCCAAAATCGTTCCCTGAAGTTTGCTGTTGTGTGTGTATTTACTGTTATGGTATGTTACTTTCTAAACTCTCTGGCACAATTCAGACTGCCACAATGCGAGTCAGGAGAGAGCTTTCCTTTCATGCTGCCAATTCTGAGCATTTAAATTCTGGTTTGTTTGGGTTGTGGCTCTTTGTTTTTGAAGTCTGTATTCTTTATTTGTAACAATTGTACTTTTATTTTTCTATATCCTCTAACTCCAGAGTTTTCTCCTTCTCCCCTGTCCCCCCACTTCTACATTCACAGTTGAACCATATTATTTAGGAAAGGCGCCTTGATGAAAAGACCAGGATAGGAGCTCTGACCATTCGTCAGTGTGTTCCCTAAAATAATTAAAAACAAAACAAAACCTTAAGAGCATCTTTCCATTTTTTTTAAACATCTCTTGTGCTGCAGCAGTAGACAGAACTTGGGTTAGTTTTATGAAATGCAACATCTAACCCCTTGTTTTCTGGGAAAAAGAAACTGCAATGACTTGAAGTTGAGAATGTGGATACCGCCTCACTCACACACACTCATTCTCAGACTGGACAAACCCCTCCCTCGCCCCCTCCTGGCTGGCGCACACACTGGGCTGCGTGGCACAGGTACAGCGGAGCTGGGCTCAAGAGCCAGGCTCCATCTTTCTCCTCAGTAGCAAAGGCCAGGCTGCCTTTGACAATGAGCACCACAGCTGAACCCAGTCCCCATCTTCTCTCCCAAACCAGTCATTCCACTCGTTACCGGCCACAAGACAGAAAACTACTTCTAGCCTCTCCCTGGGAAGAGACAGCTTTCTTTCTGTTGTTACAAGCGAGTAAATCCATCGTTTCTTTTCCAAGATGGCCGATGTTGTGGTTTTCTATGAAGTCAGTGCTTGCTTAGCTCACTAACAGCGCTGCTGGTGTCTACCAACTTTTTGAAGTACCCTCATGTATCCCCCTCTGCCTTTAGGGCGGCATTTTCATCGTGACCGCCTATTCGTGTCCCATGGAAGCACCTGCTAATTAAATCGGACTCTCAGAGGATGCTGATGCTCAGGCATCAGGAGTTTACAAAATTCCCCAGGTGATTCCAATGAATAGCAAAGGCTGAAAGTCACTGCAAGGGCCTAATTGTTTCTAACTGGGTTACTGTAAAAATGAATGGGCCCAAGGTGGCTTAAGGTTTGGCAGCATTCTCCCATATTTGTCTACTGTCGTCTAAGTCATTCAGCATCAGTTAAATATTTGGGTGCCTGCTATGTTGAGAAACAGTGTTTGCTATGATAGGCACTGGGAACACGGCAATGAAAAAGACCACGTGTCTAGTAAGTTTATCAGAGTAACATAATAGAAACCAGGGAGGCTGTTCTCTCAAAGTCAACTCCTCTTACATTTCCACTGGGTTCGACAAGGCAGGAAAGAGGCAAACAAAATAAACGATGGAGAACATTGAGAATGACAGGTGCAAAGGTCCTATGGGGAGAGGAGTGTGAGCTGGGGTAGAGAGGAGAAGGAAGGAGGAAGATTATTCTAAATCTTTGATTCTTGATAAGAATCCTTCTAAATGATTGAGATGGTGAACATTGAGATGATAGAAGTGTGTTAAGCAGAGTGACATCTGATTTAGCCTGAAAATGATCACTCTGGCTGCTCTGTGGATTAGATTGTTGCACAACAAAATAAAAGTAGAACCGTTAGGAAGCTGTCCCAAGAATCCTATAAAGAAATAATAGTTCTATGAACCAAGGTGGAGTCTGTGGAGAAGTGACGATTTTGGTATTTGTTTCAGAGGTATGGTTGTAAGACTTGGATGGAGTGGAATAAAAGCAGGAAGTAAGAGAAAGCAATGCGGTTACAATAAAAGCTACTTTTATTGAGTAAATACTACACTACAGGCACTGTTCTAAGTACTTTTTAAGTATTAAGCCATTTAATTAGCAGAAGAGTCCCCAAAGGTGAGTGTTATTATTAACCCATTAACAAATTAGGATCCAAGGCTCAAGAAGTTAAGTGATTTCCTCAGCGGAATAGCTGATGATTGGCAGAGGTGGGATCTGGACCTTCATTGGCTCCAGACTCTTCTTCCACCCCTACCAAAGCCCCACTCCGTTGACTTAATAGTCAAGTGAAAATTTCTTTAGCTGCACTAAACTACTTTTGGTGCTGCAGATTCTCCTCTCTCCCCCCTCACACACACACACACACACACACTCTCTCTCTCTCTCTCTTCTAGCTTTCTTTGCAGTTACTACTAACTTTGTAAGTGCAATTCTGCTTAGAATAGTCCCTTCCCCTCTCCTCTGCCTGCTTCATTTTATCAACCTTCAGTGGTCCTTATGGGTGAAGCTTCACCCATCTTTGGCTCTGCTGCAGCCCTGTGCTTCCCTCTATAGGTTTATGTATAAAGCACTGCATGACCACTATTTGTAGGTCTTTCCCACTGAACTTTTTTTTTTATCTTTTATTTAATGAATATAAATTTCCAAAGTACGACTCATGGATTACAATGGCCCCCCCCCATACCGTCCCTCACACCCACAACCCTCCCCTTTCCCACTCCCTCTCCCCTTCCATTCACATCAAGATTCATTTTCGATTATCTTAATATACAGAAGATCGCTTAGTATACATTAAGTAAGGATTTCAACAGTTTACTCCCATACAGAAACATAAAGTGAAAAATAATAGATGATTTTTTTTTAAATGATGATGAAATCA